TTCAGTCCATGGGCTTGCAAACATTTATGCAAATGTCTAACTTTTGAGTAAAGTAATTCTACTGCCTTTAGTGGGATCACTCACATGCATCAAGTTAAGCTTAGGTGCAGGTGTGTGATATATTGGGCATTTTAGACACCTACCTTTTATATAATGTATTTAAAAACATAGGTTGCAAAGTCTTAACACACACACAAAAAATCAAGAAGTCAGATTTAACAGTTTGCAATATTAATATCTGCCCCTTTTTGCACTCTTCTTATGAAAGCACATGATCACCTAATTGAAGATTATTTCACAATGCATACAAATAAGGAATCAGAATAATGGCTGCATGGGTTATATTAAAATGGACATTTCCCAACTTACTAGTGCTAACCTTTGCAATCTATATAACACAGATAACAGATTTCTGTGGATAATTTCTTATTATTTAACTATTAAAAGGGTACATCAGATTTTATTATGTACAACAGGAACTCCCCTCTCCCCCCAACCCCCAAATCAGGCACCATCAAGAGTCTGAACTTTGAACTTGCAGCACAAATTCTACTACTTGAGATGTAAGTCTAACTGCATTCAAGGACAAAGGGAGAAGGCTGTTATGGAGGGAAGGGGGATGAACTTCCAGTACCATATTCTAGGTTCAAGGAATGAGAGAGACCCCCTTTGGTGTCATCTCCTGCATGCCACCCTCTGTTTGGGGGAGTCCCTGCATCATGATACCCCAAATATTGTTGGATTTCATTGCTACAAAAGGATCCATAGCTGTTTTTGAACTTAGCTCCTCTTAACATTGCCGATTACTATAGAGTAGTATAAAGTAGGGATATAAAGGACTAGTCAAGTATCTGATAAGTAAGCGCTTGTTGGATAGTCGACAGGGTTGTCGATTAATCACTTCCCCCCACCTTTACTGCCTCTGTCAGAAAGAGGTAGCAAGCAGAGGGGAGAGAAGGGAGCACTTCAAAGCAGCAGTGCCACGTGGAGCCTGGGTCTGATCTGGAAGCTGATCTGGAAGCGCCGCGGGTCCGGCCCCGGGTCCTCCATGGCTTTGCTCAGCGTCTCCCTGGTCTGCAGACCAGGGAGACGCTGAGCAAAGCCATGGAGGACCCGGGGCCGGACCCGCGGCGCTTCCAGATCAGCTTCCAGATCAGACCCAGGCTCCACGTGGCACTGCTGCTTTGAAGTGCTCCCTTCTCTCCCCTCTGCTTGCTACCTCTTTCTGACAGAGGCAGTAAAGGTGGGGGGAAGTGATTAATCGACAACCCTGTCGACTATCCAACAAGCGCTTACTTATCAGATACTTGACTAGTCCTTTATATCCCTACTTTATACTACTCTATAGTAATCGGCAATGTTAAGAGGAGCTAAGTTCAAAAACAGCTATGGATCCTTTTGTAGCAATGAAATCCAACAATATTTGGGGTATCATGATGCAGGGACTCCCCCAAACAGAGGGTGGCATGCAGGAGATGACACCAAAGGGGGTCTCTCTCATTCCTTGAACCTAGAATATGGTACTGGAAGTTCATCCCCCTTCCCTCCATAACAGCCTTCTCCCTTTGTCCTTGAATGCAGTTAGACTTACATCTCAAGTAGTAGAATTTGTGCTGCAAGTTCAAAGTTCAGACTCTTGATGGTGCCTGATTTGGGGGTTGGGGGGAGAGGGGAGTTCCTGTTGTACATAATAAAATCTGATGTACCCTTTTAATAGTTAAATAATAAGAAATTATCCACAGAAATCTGTTATCTGTGTTATATAGATTGCAAAGGTTAGCACTAGTAAGTTGGGAAATGTCCATTTTAATATAACCCATGCAGCCATTATTGTTGAAACTGATCAGTTTCAGCAGCGGCTGAATCTGGATGCCAGTTCCGACTTACATACAGATTCAACTCAAGAACAAACCTACAGTCCCTATCTTGTACGTAACCCTGAGACTGCCTGTACTCTGCATGTCAGTTTCTAGCCTTAAGGCCCCAGTTCAAAGAAATTAATGATTGAACCTCTCTCGTCTGGAACACTCTGGTGAAGAAGGACAACGGATGTTGCTAGACCAGAGAGCACCGGCCTCAGAGATTGAGAGGGGCTGGGAGTGGAGCCAGTCTGGTCAGCAGCAGCCTGCAGGGCCAACAGTAGAGAACCCCAGGAGAGACTGCCACCCCATCGGTATAGGGGCAGGGAGTCTCAGGGTGCTGGGTAGCCCCAGCAGCAGCTGCCCCCGCCCCTCAAGAGACCTGGGGGCAAGGATCAGAGCCCCGCAAGCGGTCTGGGGGCAGTAGAGCCAGCCAGGTGGTATGGAGGAGATCAGGCCTTTGGGTTTTCCAGGGCAGCAGCCAAGAGGGGAGCACCAGGAGAGCCCAGAGACCTGACCACCCTGGTCCAACAAATTCCCTTGTTCAGGACCATCTGGTCCCAAGGATGCCAGACCAGGGAGATTTAACTTGCATTTCACTTTGTAACAATTAAGGGACGCTACTGAGAAGAAGAAAAGAAAAACTACTGTGTCTGTCTTAAGTATTAATGCAGTCCATAATGTTATGGTAAATCAGTAAGTGTTTTTTTAAACTAATAGTCATTACACAATAAATGCTGAGGCTTACTGACTACAGTACAAACAAAAAACAGGACTATGTAGCACTTTAAAGACTAACAAGATGGTTTATTAGGTGATGAGCTTTCGTGGGCCAGACCCACTTCCTCAGATCGAATTGTGGAAGAACATATTATTTTGATGGTTGTGACTTTTTTTCTTCCACTATTTGATCTGAGGAAGTGGGTCTGGCCCACGGGGGGGGGGGGGGAAGGTAAGTGTCTGAGTTAGAGGTGATAACTGGGGAAGCTATCTTTGTAAAGGGTAAGATAATTAGTGTCTTTGTTAAGACCCTGACGTAAAGTTTGTCAAATTTAAGCATGAATGACATTTCAGAGGTTTCTCTTTCAAATCTGGTGTTAAAATGTCTTTGAAGCATTATGCAGGTAATCAAGTCGTTGAGACAATGCCCTTTCTGGTTGAAATGGCAAGAAATTGTTTTTTCTATGTGATACTGTTTTGTGTGAATTGATTCTTTGGCGAAGTGTCTGAGACGTTTGTCCAACGTACATAGCAGACTGACACTGTTGGCAGAAGATGACAAATTATATTTCTGGATGAGCAGGAATATATGTTCTTGATCTTATAACTGAATTGGTTAGGTCCAATAATGGTGTCAGCAGAGTAAATATGTGAACAAAGCTGGCAACGGGGTTTGTTGCAAGGGTAAGTTCCAGGGTTGGTATTAGTGTGATATGTCCTGTGGTTGTTGGTAAGAATCATCTTGAGGTTAGGTGATTGTCTGTAGGAGATGTGTCGGTCTCCCAGAGCCTCTCAGAGTATAGTATCCTGCTCTAGTATAGGTTGTAGTTTATTGATAATGTGTTGGACGGGTTTAAGTTGGGGGCTATAGGTGATGACAAGTGTGTTCTATTGTTGGTTTTCTTGGGTCTATCTTGAAGTAGATGGTTTCTGGGTATTCGTCTGGCTCTTTCAATTTGTTTTTTTATTTCTCCAGCTGGGTAATTGAGGTTTATAAATGCTTGATAGAGATCCTGAAGTTTCTGGTCTCTGTCAGTCCCTTTGGTATATATGGTCATGCCTATTTTCTTCCACAATTTGATCTGAGGAAGTGGGTCTGGCCCACGAAAGCTCATACCTAATAAACCATCTTGCTAGTCTTTAAAGTGCTACATAGTCCTGTTTTTTGTTCAGCTAGACTAGACTAACACGGCTACATCTCTATTACTGACTACAGTACAATGAGAGATATTCTATTGAAGTCAAACCTTCTCTAGTCTCATTTGTTTCATATAAATTACATGTTGTTAGATCCATCTGTGAAAATTGGGAGGTTAATTATGATGGTACATTGCATGATTCCACAGCTAAATGCTAAAGTAGTTCTACACCAGTACCATATGTTTGTCTTAGGAAAATGTAGAAAGATTAATTAGGAGTTCAAGCCCAAGACTTGGGAAAGTAATACTCTGAACACAATTAGATCATTACATTGTGTACTATGCAAATTGAAGTTTTAATTAATAGCTGAAATATCGTTCGGGGGAAAAAAATAAATCTACAAAGCCTAAATTATAGGCATCAGAGCTTCCTTGCAGACACTGCTTAACTAAAGGTGATCCTTTCTGAAACCATGCACTGGGTTGTCACAACAAAAGCCATTTTAACTTGTCACATTGGTTTGATGTACAGATTACCTGTGGAGCATTTTAATCCTATTTGCTCTCCTTTCCTTTTTTTTAATTACCATCTATCATAACACTTTAAAAAAAAAACATTCCAACAAATAGGCCAGGCCCAGGCTACATAAACTAGATGAAAAGTCAGTTAAACATTACAGCAACCCAAAGTGTTCTTACAGACACTTAACTGACTCAGACACAGGACTACTTTTCTATTTCAATATATTCCATTACAAAACAAATCCTATTCAATCATATGGATAACACCCATTGATATGTACATGTAACAAAGTTAATGTTAAAGATTTTTTCCCATGTACTTCAATGGACTTTGGATCATTCCCTAAAATTAGGTTTGGCAGAAATAATTTTTATTTTTTCATAAATTCAATGGACAATATCAAAATTGTTTTTTCTTATTTTTCTCATTTTGATCAATTTAAATTTTCACAGTTGCTGGCTATAAGAAAGGGAGGTCAGACAATTAATGTTTAACAGTAGATATTAAGATTCAAAATGTTAAAAGTTTATAATCATTTAATACACACATTTTTGAAAGCTCATGTCAAAATGTTCAAAGTAAACGGCCTTCAATCAAATTCTAAAGTTCTCCAAGCAGCATTTTAATTAGGCTGCCTATTGGTAAATCATAGATGGAATAATTTTTGTTGGCTTGCGTGTGTATGATAAAAATCAATATTTACCAACAAACACTACATTCTTCCAAGCTTACCTATCATGTTAAATTAATTTTACTTACCACATATTCAAACACAAGTGTCAATGTCTCCTTGGTGTGAATGATGTCATGAAGCAGAACAATGTTAGCATGTTTCAGTCCTTTCAAAAGAGAAGCTGTAAAGCAAAATGTGCACACTATAAAAACATGTTACTTTTGCATGAAATAAATATTTTAGAGTGAAGGATTAACAAATTTGTTTTTAAAAGTATTTGGATGGTAATAATTCACTATCGATTTTTTTTGCCCCAGGTCTACCCAAAATGACACAGCTATTCAGTACTTCTAGTGAACTAAATATTATTTATTTTCACAACTTTAATGAGAATGAAGCCCTCCTTTTCTCAGTGTAGTCGTCTCCATTTTGCGAGTTCAGCTCAACCCTGCTCTGAGACAGAACTAGCAGGAGTTTCACATAAGTGGTCTCTACTGAGTGAATCAAACCATTACCTGCTAGTCTATCAAATGTGTCCATTTTATAATCAAAATTCTTTTTATATCTCAGGTAAAATACTTCTCTGCTAGGATCTGAACATTTTTCAAAACATTTCCCTTTCATAAGCAAAACACAAAAGCAGCTTTCTAATCAAAAGCAAACATGTATTCTGTACATAGCACATTGATAATTACTTCAAATCTAAAAGTGTATGGGAGGGAAGTTAACTATTTGTATTAGTCAGTGACAATAGAAAAATTAAGAAGTTTTCATTTTTTTTTTAATGTTATCAACAATCAGGATTTCAGTACAGTAACAGGAATGGATTCTGCAGAAGATTCCCTTCCAAAAATATTTATTTCACAATGCAATGCATATTTAATTCTTTCTCTGCAATGCATAATTAACAAGTTTATTTAATGTTCCACAAAATATGCCATGGTTAAGCAATAGGACGTGACAAACCATGTGTTATCAGTATCAACAAGCCATTGATGCTTTGTCATGCATGCATCTGAGAAGGCTTAATACCAGTGACCATCATGGAGTGTATTCTACACAACACCACATAAATGTCAGTTTCGGTAGTGATTTATTGAGACTTGAATTTTGCCTCTTCCCTGTTGTTTTGAAAAAGAGACACGCACCTGAGTGTGCCAACATCAGCTTCATGTGAGTATCCCTCTACCATGCACAGGAGGTGGCTCAGACACTTCCATGCCACAGATTAGAATGTACTCTGAAAGGCTGGGGACCCACCCAGGATATCAGGAATTGACAGCCTTGCTCTCAGTGGAGGCAGGCACATATTGCCTGGCATCCTCTTCCTCTCCGCTGCTCTCAGGACTGGGGAGGCTTGGGTCGCGAGCCCTCCTCCTTTCCTGCTGCTCCCAGGGCAGGGAGGCTCGGGCCGTGCAGACTCTTCCCTCCCTACTGCTCCAGGGATGCTGGGAAGACA